AAACCTGTAGACACCTTGTTCTTGGAACTTCAGAACTCTGAGAAAATAAATTTCTGTTGTTTAAGTAGCACAGTCCATGGCATTTTGTTATGGCAACCCTAGCAAACTAATGCAAGAGGGATTAGATATTTGGCATGAGCTAAGCCCTCTCCACTGATGCCAACACAGCCATTTAAAAGAGACATCAGTAGAATATGATGGATGAGATTTTACTATCCAGCAAAGGTGGTGTACATTCAGGATCAGGTGGGAAAAGGTTTTTCGAAGAGCAGAAAGGAAGTCAAGTGTCAGTGACTTTTAATAGTCAAACTAGTGACAGCCATCAGGTAGGTGTGTTTCTCTATTTTTTTTTTTGCTATATAATATACCTTATAATAATAATATACTTAGGATTATTTACTCAATAATTACTTTTCCCTTGACTAAACAGCTAAACATTTATGAAATAATTTTATTGGCTGCAGCGCTGGCTAATAGTGAGGCTAATAGTTTCTGGCTAATAGTTTCTGCCATTTTCCTGGGACTCGGATCTTGTCACAGTCACTTTCTAGCCGTGTGATTTGGGGTGAACTACTTAACCTCCTTTGGGTCAGTTTCTTTATCTGTAAAATACAGATAATAGCACCTTCTTAATCAGGTTGTGTGAAAATTAAGTGAATAATATATATAAAGTGCTTAGAAGGATACCTGGCCTAGAGTAAGCACCCAGTACATGTTAGCTATTATTTTAACTTGGGCCAGTCTCTGCATGTGGATAACCAACAGAGGAATTAGTGGACCTACATGGTTCCACCAAGATATCTGCCACCGGAGCTGGCCCCCATGGCCTTGCCAGCATGGTGTTAAAGAAGAATTGGTCCTGATGAACAGTAGCTATTAAATCTCAGTGGTTAACATCATCTAGGAGGCTGACAGAAATACAGATTTGGGGTGCCTGAGTGGCTTAGTCGGTTAAGCGTCCGACTTTCGCTTGGGTCATGATCTCGCGGTTCGTGGGTTCGAGCCCCGCGTCAGGCTCTGTGCTGACTGCCAGCTCAGAGCCTGGAGCCTGTTTCAGTCTGTGACTCCCTCTCTCTCTGACCCTCCCCTGCCCACGCTGTCTCTCTCTCTCTCTCTCCTAGAAATAAATAAATTAAAAAAAAAATAAAATTGACCATGGTGATTAATAATAATAAAAAAAAAAAAAAAAAAAAAAAGAAATACAGATTGCCCAGAGATTCTGATTCACCACGTTGGGATGGAGCCCAGGAATCTGTCTTTATAGCGGGCACTTTGGTGAATTCGGATACAGGTGGTTCACAGAAAAACTATTAAGAGATACTCATCAAAAAGAACATCTTCTTTATTGGAGACTATTATGGTAAATGTCTTAACTTACTAATCATGAGTCTATAATAATTTTCATTTAAGGCATTTGAAATGTTGAAATAAAACTAACTTAGGTAAAAGATGAGTATGTAAACTTGTTTTTAAAAATCATCTGAGGGGCACCTGGGTAGCTCATTTGGTTAGGCGGCCAACTCTTGATTTCAGCTCAGGTCATGGTCTCACAGCTTGTGAGATTGAGGCCGAAGTTGGGTTCTGTGCTGATAGCACAGAGCCTGCTTTGAATTCTCTTCTCTCTCCCTCTCTCTGCCCCTTCCCAACCTGCATCCAAGCTCTCTCTCTCAAAATAAACATTTAAGAAATCCTCTGAAAGAGAATGACCACAAGTGTTAACAAGAGTTATTGATAAACCTGAAGAAATTCAGCAACTAGTGTAGACTTCAGTTTCTTCATAGACAATTTGAGTTATTCCAGTTGAGTCACTCAAGGTGAGGATGAATTGTCCAGTGCTCCCCTCAGGCTAATTGCCTAAGTGACCTGAGTTGAGGGTAGATGGTGAGCGATACTTGGAAGTAGTTTGTAGAGAAGCACAGAGAATGGTGTTTCAGGTTGTAAGGTAGAAATGGTTCATTCAGCCAGAAAGTAGCAAGCTAGTTGTGCAAATTAATCAGAAAGTTTTGCATGTAGATAATGATAACAATATTTTTTAGGATCCTGGAGAAAGGTAAATAGTGCTGGGTTCTATAGAATGGCTGGAGAAAGCATAGTCTGAAGTTGAAACTGGGCATTCAATTTGGAGCTTAACAAAATATGATAGTGTTTCCCAGGGTCAGAATAAGGAGTGATTAAGATTGGACTCTAGGATAACTTTGGAACTGAAAAACCTGATTATTGTGTTATGAATTCATAAAATCTGTACACATATTAATTGCAGGACTGAAGTTTATAGTTGATACTTCTTTCCTACTGGTCAAGCTGCTGTGCTCAAGTTATGGGAGAATGATCATTATTGAGGAAATAAAGGTCAAGTTCAAAGTGGAGAAACTCCAGATCCCTGGGGCAGCTATGCAGAAACCTAATCAACACTGAGCTAGCTGGCAAGCTTTCTGTGGGAGGGAAGGGGTAGTGGTGTAGCCTCTGTGAGTAGCTCACCTGAGTGTTCTGAGGGTGTCATAGGGAAAGTTTCTTAGTTGTACAACAATGCAGTGGTATAGTGTTTCTGTAAGCAAAATTGGTTTTAACATAGTTGAAGAAAATAGATAATACTGATACTGTTTATTTAGAAAGCTTTCAAATTAGACTCCTTAAAATCTTCATGCTGCTTTTAAGATAAGCTATTTGGATATTGTTGGTTCACTGATTATTTTCCCCTTATAATCAATCACTTAGAACATTTATGAAGTAATATTATCAAAGTTACTGAATTTTTACCCTTGGGGCATGTGTATTCCAAGAGATGTATGTATCCGTGTGTATATACATTTTATGTGACTTACAATTTATCGTGTACAGGTGCCATTAATTATTTCTAAGTCTAAGTGCCTCCGCTTATTAATGTTAACTGTTGCTCTTAGTGTTTAGGTTCAGGTCAACCAAGGTGAATCTTTGAATATTATTCACTGCTGGGGGAAATAGTGCATTCAGGTAGGCAGGTGTTTTTGTTTAATTTTTAACTCCATCTTCTCTACCACCTGACAGCTTTTTGTGTTATTACCATAGTACTACTTTGTTTGGACAACTGTCTTCATAAATTGAGGAATTATTGTCCTTCATGCTTAATTGTTCCAAGATATTTTTAAATGTCATTTCTTGTAAAAATAGTATATACTTATTATAGAATATTTGAAAATTATAGAAAAGCCTAATGAAAAAAATCATTTATAATTCTCATATGATAACTACCATTAAATATCTGTTTTACTACCATTACAACATCACCTACTGGTCTTTCAATCCCTCTCTCTCTCTCTCTCTCTCTATGTGTGTGTGTATATATGTGTGTGTGTGTGTGTGTGTGTACCTAGAGAGTGTTATGTGTGCATATAAACACGAATTGGTAGCATATCATACTATATCCATGGCTATAGGGTTTTCCCATTTAACACTATAGCATTAATGTATCTCCATATTATTAAATATTCTTTAAAAATGTGATTTTAAGGACCATATAGTAGACATTTTACAAATATTTAAGATTATATTCAAACTTTTGCTGTTGTAAATAATATTAATCCTTTTGCAAAAATATTTTAACTCAACTTGGACTTTAACACAAATTAAGGCAAAATGGAATTATTGGCTAAAGATAGTGACATCTGTAGGGATCTTGATACATTTTTCTCAAACCCCTCTGGAAACCTGCTTGTCTGCATGCCCATGAGCAGAGCATCTATACCTGTTTCACCATACCTGCAAGAATGAATGCTTACTTGAAATAGCTTTGTCTACCTAATAGCAAAGGAAGAGGCCTAATTGTTTTTATTCACTTTACTTCTACTACTGTTGAGGTTGGACATATTTTCTCATGGTGGTTGACTCATAATTTTAAGAAAATAGGTTTTGTTTTGTTTTGTTTTGTTTTTTTGGCAAACTTAAGACAAACCAACTGTGACCACCCACAGTTAACTCCATTGCAAGGACATCCTTGTTATATTAATCCTCAGCCTCTGATTGCCCATTCAGGACTTTTTTTTTTTTTTTTTAAAGAAGAGTGTTTATTATGATAATGAAGAGTCTGGGCTTGTGAGTGAGACTGACTCAGAGCCCTGCCGTTTAGTCTTTTGTAACCCTGAAGAAGTTACCCAATCTTTCTAGGCTTTGGTTTCCTTGACTGTAAAACAAAACTGACAATCCTCACGGTAATTCTCACAATGACATCGCATTTTAAGCTTGTTGAAGCTTTCTGTGAAACGTACCCACTACTGAAAAATGAGAAATGTTTCCTGATGACCCATTGTTTCCTATGACCCAAGGTATGACAGCATACCTCTTAGAAGCCAGAACTGTTAAAGTCCCAACAAGCTGTGTGTTTTACTTTCTATTTAAACTTTTACAGCAGCACAAATAGTGGGACTTCCTCCCTCCCCCATTAAAAAAAAAAAAAAAAAAAAAAAAGGTAGTTGGGAGATAGCTTAGCTGCTAGCCTGGACCTGGCCTCAGAGCCTTGTAGGACACGGCCATGCTTCTGGAGTGGTGCTTAGTACTTTAGAAAGTTACTGCAAACCGGATAAGGATAAATCCTCTTCCACTTCTGTCTTCTTCTCCCAAAGGGTGAAAGAAAGTGCTACGTCAGTATTGCCACTAAGCCTGTGTGATCATTCTAAGGTCATTCCAAGACTTCTGCTTTCCTTTTAACATTGTGCCTGTATCCACCTGCCTGTCTGTCTAGGGAAATATAATGTAGAGGATTCTCAAAGACTTTCTTTCTCTGAGAATTCAATTCTTTGCATAATGGATTTTTGAGACTGAAGGTATATTTTGAAGCATTAAAGAAAATAACTGAAATTTTAGATGCTGTCTGCTCTTTCACACCGAGGATGTGACTAGGACATATGCTAGCTGTCTGGCCATGCTGACCAGGTTGACTGCCAGACGGGCTGTTTAGTAGCGCCAGGGGCACCCTGACATCATTCCCTGAACTGCTTTCTCTCTCTCACATTCTTGTACTTTTCCAGCTGACGGCCCAGAGGGTGGGTGCCCGTTCCACCAGCAGCTGCAGCTGGAAAGCAAGATTCAGAATGGCAGATATCCTCCGGGAGCTGCTGCGGGTGTCTGAGAAAGCTGCCAACATCGCCCGGGCGTGCAGGCAGCAGGAAGCCCTCTTTCAGCTGCTGATAGAAGAAAAGAAAGACGGAGAAAAGAACAAGAAGTTTGCAGTTGATTTCAAGACCCTGGCTGATGTACTGGTACAGGAAGTTATAAAACAGAATATGGAGAACAAGGTAAGAAAGGTCACAGCCAAAGTAATTGCAAAACATTTGCCCTGTGGTTTTTTCCCTGATGGAATAGCATTCCTTTTTCTTTTCCTTTCTACCTCAGAATACTAGCGCCTAGGATTCTAATAACTTGGGTTCCCCCGACCCCTTGTTTTGACTACAAAATTACTGAAATGTTCATTGCAAAAAAGATTTAAAATACAGAAAAGCAAATAAGGAAAAAAGTCACAATTCTGACAGCTAAAGAGAAACATTTGGGCGTGGAACATTTTATTTATCAATGGGTTTCTTTTTAAATAAATACTACATTTTCTCTGGAAAATAAGCAAAAATAAGAATCCTTAATCCTACCACTAGAGTGGTATGTTTTACCAAATCTTGTAAGAACATTTTCCTTCTATGTGTAGTTATTTGCATGGCACATAGAACTGATCTCAGTGGAAGTGAGAACATACTGTTTTATTGAGTTCTTTTTTTAACTTGACCTATCATATCCCACCTTTTGATGTAATCTTTTATCTAATGGTTGCCTCGGTTATTGGCTTATACGTCCTGGATACTGGAAATTCCCATTTATTCTAATAGAAAAACGTTTGTAATAACTAACAATGATTGTGATTCTAGGTATCTTAAGCTGACTGGGAAAAGAAACTATTAGTAAGTAGTTATAACAAACAATATCACTAGCAGACAATTATGAGTCCTTACTGTGTGTCAGGCACTTCTAAGGGCTTTACGTATATTAATTTATGCAACTGTTATAATGTTATAATTATATAATTATATGAATTATAAATACTATATATCATATTTATATTAAAATTATAATAATTTTATGAGGTAAGAACTATTATTCCAATGTAATGGATGAGAAAAGGGAAGTACAGAGAAGTTAAGTAAATTGCCCAAAGTTACACAGCAGGCAAATAGTTCAGAAAGCTTTTGAACACAGGCCAACTGGCTTGAGTTTGCGCTCCTTACAATACTATGTTGCCTTTAGATGATAATCTAATAATTACACATTTTTTAAGATTTGGGAGGATAGAACTTTATTACAGGAAGCACTACAAAATATTGGAATAGTTTCTATGAAGTTCTCAAAATATTCAGAATCTTTTGGAACCATTTAAGTGAATTCTTGACCACAGCCAGGAAGAGAGAATAAATGACCCCTTGAAATCTCTGCCAATTAGACTTTTTCATGCCCTATAATAGCTGGCTCCAATATGTGAAGCCAGTTTATTTTTGTTACTGATCAGGATAGTTGGGTGCAAGGGAAAGTTGAGCAACTGCATTAGAAATGTATCAACATGCACTCTTATTGGCTAATATTTGCCCCGTTGCATTATAACAAGCTGAGGTAACTGTTCACTGATAAATATATGACAGGACTTATGAACAAATACAGGATATTCATTGCTGGCTATATAAGATTCTTTGTTTCATGACCCTCATATCCTGTAGCCTAGGGATGAATGAGCTCACTCCAGCTCCTGTGGACTTGGACTGTTCTTCAAAAGAGGAAAAAATAACAAGTGGTTGTAGGCACTGTTAAAGCTATTGGCCATCTGTGAATGACTGGGTTCAAGTATTTGAAGCATTTCCTTGCTTTTGTTCCCTGAGAATATCATGCATATCATAATTCAGCACATATTTTGAGGAAAATTATCTTTACTACAGAGAGGATCAGAAGCAAAGTGTCCCTGAAAGCTTCCTGGTCATACAGAGATGAGAGAAGATTCTTACTTAGCTCTATTTTTTTAAATTCTATATTGATGCATTATCAGTCAGTAATATATTTCCCTTTTTTTTTTCTGTATCCCCTTCCTTGCCTGAAGTCTCATGATACCTCCAACAAGTGCAGAAAACACCTGAAAATGAAAGCAAACTCTAATGTTACCCTCTGATTCTACTATCTAGTCTCAAATCATAGTCTTAGGTACTTGGTCAGTCCCATTCACTCACATAAGCCACTAGGATGCTGTTGAAGAGCAACAGTTAAAATGTCTCCTTTGCAAATATTCTAGTTCTATGGTCCTTAAGTGGAAGGGGTGAAGTTTCTAAGTACTTCTGCAGACTCAACATAAGGAAACCAGACTTCTACCATGATTTGGACTTCCTGGAGGAGCAAAGGAGCAGGAAAATATTAGAAAACTAAGTACTGAATCAACCTGACTTTACTTTTTATACTAGATTGATTTCTGGAATTGTAAATTTCTAAATTTCAGATCTAGTTGTACTATTTAATTTGAAGTATAGAATGAGTATATGCTCAGAATTGACCATGTATGTGGGATTTAGGGGCTTTTTGGTTTTTGCTTTGCCTTTGTTTTGTTTTTTGGTTTCTTTGTCATACTCTAAATCATTCAGTTTCCAGGCTTGGGAAAAAAAATTTTGGGAGAAGAATCCAATGAGTTTACTAATGATTTGGGTAAGTATAAGAATCTTAATGTATTTTTATAACTTAATTATTATATGGTATTCTAATTTTCAATGACATCAAGAAATAAAGGAATGTTTGGAAGCCTTTCATATAAATAACATACTCGAGTGTTAAGCTTTATTCAGTACCTCAGAATACCATGCTATTCAAGTTAGAGAGATGTAGTACCTTGTAATTACTTAGCAAGTCTGCATGTATTATTTTATATATAAATCTTTAATATTTAAATAATATATGACAACCTTTGGGGAATTTACATGGCCCTTTGAGAATCTAATGGAAGTTACAGACACTCTCAGAAAGATTCACATTTACACAGTTGGATAGACAATTTTAGGTTCAAATTTTATGTTTGTTTTTTGTTTTAGTTTTTGTTTTGTTTTGCTTTTTGAGAGACAGAGACAGATTGAGAGAGAGAGAGTGTGTGAGAGCACAAGTGGGGGAAAGGGGCAGAGGGAGAGAAACAATATTAAGTAGGCTCCATGCACAGCTTGGAGCCAGACTTAAGTAGGCTCCAGACTCAGCTCCATCCCACGATGGAGCCTTAAGTCTGATATCATGACCTGAAATGAAATCAAGATTCGGACGCTCAATCGACTGACCAGATGCTCCTAGTTCCAAGGTTTAAACCCATTCATGGACCTCCTGGAGAGTCCATAGACCTTGGCTGAGAATCTAGAGAGGCCCTGTCTTCTGAGCCGAAATCAAGAACTGACTGAACCACCCAGGTGCCCCTCACTGGAGAATTTTAAGCACCAGAGTGATATGATTGATATGATTTGCTTCTTGGCCTGATCCTATGACTTTTACTAAGCCCAGTCATAGGTGCTTGGTTAAGTGGCAGAGATTAGCATTATGATTCCCCAATTTCAGTAGTCTAATTTAACTTGAAATTAACTTAACTAAATATAATTGAATGTTTCTTGCTGATTCAGAGTCATCATTGTAATAGATTCATACTGTGCTTCCCAAGCTTTAATGATCACATGAATCACCTGGGGATCTTTAAAACTCAGGTGTGGGATGCAGCCTGAAGTTCTGAATTCCTAACAGGCTCTCAGGTGATGCTGCTGCCATCCTTGGAATGGCTAGGGTCGCTAGGAGTACTTGTCTATATACCTAAAAAGCCCCAAAGTGCCATGTCTTCTTTTAAAACGTTTATATTCACCATTGCTGCCCCATTTTGTTGCTGTTAAATTGCCTATTTTTGCCAGCCTCTTTCTTCACTTTTGTTGGGAGCTGGAAAGCAGATTAACCACAGGTCTAAGAAATATGTTTAAAGTGATCGTGAAGCAGCTGGATTTGGTAATTTGTGGTTTCATTCGGATGAGTAGCCTTGCTTACATCCTGATTTCCAGCGGGTTTTACAGAGGAGGGCTATTTCTATGTATGCCATTTACAGTCATATAGTTTATCACACGTAAAGAGTCGTTATACTTCCACTTATAGTACTTTACTGAGCATAAACACCTTTTAGTTAAAAGCAATGTCATAGAGGGCAGTAGAAGCACTTCATGTGCTGATAAAAACCTCCTTTTTCAATAATACATTCTAACACTAACAAGGTGACCTGTGTATATTAGAAGTCAAAAGGCATTAACACATACATATTATCAAGGACTCGAGGTTCAGGGCCTTTTTAACTGGTTCATGAGCTCCCTTAAACTAGATGCAAAATTGTACGCATGTTTCCCTGTGGACATTTTCCTGGGAAGAAGTTTCTTTGATACCTGGACTCTACCCCTCACTTCATACTAGGTATTTCGGCCACTACTGGGCAGCTGTGACCTTGTGAAGTGGGTGATTCTGGCAGTCGGCCAGGTTAGGAACTACGACTGTGAACATATTGCCCTCACCTAATCTAAGTGCACAACTTTGGCTCCTCCTCATCCCTCAGTTGTTCCCCACCCCCCTCCCATTCGCCTCCCCCCGCCCCCCCCCCCCGAACTCTTGAAATGTAATGGCTTTTCATCTGTCTTTATTCTAGGGGAAAAGATTATCTTGAGACTATGTCCCACAGAGGAAGAAACAGTAGAGCTTCTTAGCAAAGTCCTTAATGGTAACAAGTTGGTATCTGAAGCATTAGCCAAGGTTGTTCATCAGGATGTCACCTTTACTGACCCAACTCTAGATTCGATAGAGATTGACATTCCATGGGACATTTTGGGAATCTGGGTGGATCCCATAGGTAAGTAGAGGAGAATGTTTGCTTTTATTTGTTCTCATTAGTAATCCTTTTGTAGGCGGAGGCTTGGAAAAATGAAAATTGAGAGTGTAGTTTAATTCTTCTAGAAGGTTTTAACATTTTAGTTATAAAATGAATAATGAAGAGTTGAGGTATATGTGTGATGATGTGTTATTATATGTATATTTGTAACATTTCTACAACGGATATGTATAAGTATTTGTGTGCCATCAATGTGTGTGTGCATATATATACAAAGCTGAACATATCGATACCTGTCTATCTATTATCTATATCTACACATACACACACAAAGCTGAATTAATTCATCTTTGAAAGACTTCAGGGACCAGACTGGTAAATCTGAGAGAATAATGAACTGATAGTAGCTATAACTAATTGAGCACACAAGACATTCAAAGAATACTCAGCTCTAGCAGATTGTTGCCATATAGGAGTACAGTCTAGGTCTTTACGTTTTTAAAGAGAAACCAAAATCCAGGTTTTTAAATGATATCTCCCAGTTTTTAACCACTGACTACTAACTCAATTAAAGAACAGTCAAAACCACTGAACAGATCAAGCAAAACACAGCTGAAGGTGACTCACTCCCAGGTGGTGAGCCCTGTGTAAATCTTAACCTATTATATTTTGGGGCATGGTTGTAGTGGAACCCTAGTTTATAGCTCTATGTTCTAACAGTGTAGGTCTATTTCATTGATGCTATTAATACAATGCCCAGGATATTAATTTGCAGAGTCTCTCCTTTTCTTCGTCCCCCCCTGCCTAGCACATTCCACCCAACACAACTGGTACCACTTCCCAGGCAAACACCCCCCACCCCCCTGCCGTACTCCCATCTTGCTTTTTTTTTTTTGAAAGCTTAAAATTTGTTTCACTAACATACATGAATTCACAACAATGAATAGACACACAAAATAGAAGTATGTACAGAAGGTCACTACCTACAGTACATTAGATAAGAGCATTTTATAAACAATTCCATACTGGATTAAAATCTTGCTAGGGATGGCTCATTCTACCAGCAGAAATCTAACTTCTAGAAGCCCCCCAAATTCATTCCTGGCAGGGTGAGAAAGGGCTGTCGCTGTGGAGTACTTATCGAGACTTGTCTCTTACAAATGAATGAACCACAGCAGCCTGTGAGGGAACGTTCTATTCCACATAAGCTTAATATTATTAAGTCTTCTTTTTCTTTCATTTTAACTTGTAATTAACCTCTTTTTTTTTTTAAAGAAAGCAATTAAATCTAACAGTGCTTACTCTGACCTTACATGAATTTTTATTAACAAAGGGGAAACTTCTTACTTTTGTAATCGCATGAACATTTAGAAGGTCAGGGGTATGTCCTCTCCACCTAGTTTGTGCTGGCTCTTCTAGGTCTGCACCCAGACACAACCTGTAGTGTAGAAATCAGGATGATTTGAACACTTCTGTTTCCCTTCAGCAGCACATGGTGGGATTTAACAGGGTACAGAATGCCTGTTTAATGTTAATTAAGAAAGGTGGGTGGAGTTGGAAGTTCTTACTAGGAAAACACTACTGGTTACTGGCATCTCATCACTCACAGGAGGACTATCAGTTTTTTCCTTTGTGCCACCATTATGTCTCTTTCCCTCTTCTAATCTGAGGGATCAAAGAAATAAAAAAGAAAGAAAGAAAAGGTAATTCCACCCCTGAGAGATTTCTGGAAGGAGATTTCCCCATCCATCCGCATTGTACTTGTCCTCTGATTAGTAAGAGCTCTAAGGAATCCCACCACAGTTATCCTGAGTCATTAGCTTTTACATGCTTTTGATATATGATGAATATTTGAGTGCTTATGATTTGCAAGGTGCTATGCTAGATACCACATGAACTATAGACATGTCCTCTCCCTTCAAGAGTTCCCACAGAGTTGGGAAAAATGGAACACAAGCAGCTTAAAAATGGAAGCACAAGAAGTCAAATAACAATTTGAAACAAGTGACACTCAACAGCAAAACTTGACTGATTACTCTCTTAGTCTGGTCAGGCTGCGCTAACAAAATACCATGGACTAGGTAGCTTATAAACAATGGAAACTTATTTCTCAAAGTTCTGGAGGCTGCGAAGTCCAAGATCAAACCAGCATGAACAGCACTGCTAGGAATTTACCCAAGGGATACAGGAGTGCTGATGCACAGGGGCACCTGTACCCCAATGTTCATAGCAGCCCTCTCAACAATAGCCAAAACATGGAAAGAGCCTAAGTGTCCATCAGTGGACGAATGGATCAAGAGGACATGGTTTAGCTCTATGATGGAATACTACATGGCAATGAGAAAGAACGAAATCTGGCCACGTGTAGCAACATGGATGGAACCTGAGGGTGTTATGCTGAGCGAAATAAGTCAGACAGAGAAGGACAGCTACCATATGTTTGCACGTATAGGAGGATTAGGAGGAACTTAACGGAGGATCGTAGGGGAGAAGAAGGGGGGAAATAGTGGGGGAGAGGGAGGGAGGCAAACCATGAGAGACTCTTGAATGCTGAGAACAAACTGAGGACTGATGGATGTGGGGGGGAGGGGGGAGATGGGCATGGAGGAGGGCACTTATGGGGATGAGCACTGAGTGTTGTATGGAAACCAACTTGACAATAAACTATTTAAAAAAAAAATGCCAGCATAGTGAGATGAGGGCCCTCTTCCTGCTTCATAGCTGGCACCTTCTCACCCTGTCCTCATAGAGTGCAAGGGACTAAGGATCTCTCTGGAGCCTCTTCTATAAGGCACTAATTGCATTAATGAGGGATTCACCCTCATGACTTATGTGCTTCCCAATGGCCTAACTTACCATCGCCTTTATGGGGTTAGAATTTGGGGAGAATACATTCAGACCATAGCAGCTACCAAGTTGGTAGAACACAGAAATGATACAGGACAGAATTTATAGTTATATCCATCATTATCTTTGAAATAATCATTATCTGAATCCAAACAAATTTGCTTCATTTTTTTTCAGATTCAACTTATCAGTATATAAAAGGTTCTGCAGACATTAAATCCAACCAAGGAATCTTCCCCAGTGGACTTCAGTGTGTCACCATTTTAATTGGTGTCTATGACCTACAGACAGGGGTGCCCCTAATGGGAGTCATCAACCAACCTTTTGTATCACAAGATCTAAACACACTCAGGTAAGGTTACCACTCCGCATGATATTACCATGACTTGATACACTAAGGTGCTCCTACTAAAGTCTGCAGGTTTGAATTAAAATTCCTCCTATTTTCAGTCCTGGATTAAATATAATTTTATTGGGGGTTCGGTGGATGCTGATAGAAACTTTTAAAAGGAATACTATCTTGGAGAAATCACAGTTTTGCACTTGGAATATAGCAATCTTGTTTCCTGTTTTCTAAATTTTTTTTTATGTTTTATTTATTTCTGAGAGAGAGAGAGAGAGAGACAGCATGAACAAGGGAGGGTCAGAGAGAGAGGAAGACACAGAATCTGAAACAGGCGCCAGGCTCTGAGCTAGCTGTCAGCACAGAGCCTGATGCAGGGCTCGAACCCACGAACTGTGAGATCGTGACCTGAGCCGAAGTCGGACGCTCAACTGACTGAGTCACTCAGGCGCTCTGTTTCCTATTTTCTAGAATCCATTCAAAACCAGATTGATAGAACAGTGGTAACACTGTCTTCTACTACATTTGGAACAAGATAGATGCTATTGCTACAGAGCCAAGTCAAACATTTATGCAATTTTAGAAGAAATTCAAATCAAATATGAAAATTATACAATGACAAGATGGGTAGGTATGGTCAGGACTAGACCCTGACTGTGGGTCTGTTCCCCACTCCCCCTTCAATGGACTTCTGCACAGAGCATGGAAGTGGCCAGGCCGTCATCTGTTGGCTCAGCATACGGCCTGTACTTAGGCTGACTCCAGGGCATGACAGTGTCCAAACAGAAGCAAGCAGCTTTTCTCCTGTGGTTTCAGTTTCATCTTGAAATAGGCCCTATTTTCCCATTTGTATACGGCTACATATTTTTACTGAACTTTGAGTTGCTTCACGCAACTAAGAATTATTTGTTCCTTAATGGTCATAAACACCACCTCTTCAGTTTTGACATTTTTCCCCTAACCCCGCCTTCTTTCAAACCAAAAAGGTGTTTCTTCTCTCTTTAAAGGGTCATTAAGAAATTAAAAAGAATTGGGACCAGATGCAGACATAGTCATGGCCTAGAAATGATTGACAAAGTAGTTGTGGTGCCGAATCTAGAGTGAGGCTTCCTGGGTTTACACATGGATCCTACCACTGACTAACACACTTATACCCACATTCTCCAAGGCCCTGTTCCCCCCTCTGTAAATAGAGTAAATTACCCAACATAATATCATAAGTTAAACATTGAGAAGCAGGTACTACTGTTGTTGTGGCCAAAAATAATGAGTCCATCTTTCTTGGTGTTAATATCAAAGTGGAGCTGGTGAATAAGAAAATGAAAAGAAATCACCAAATGAAGACAGACTTGTAAGGCTGGGAAAAGATTTGCAAATTGAACAGAGAGATGGTTTATCTGTTCGTGTTTTCCCTTCTTTTACTTTAAACACTGAAAGTGGCAATAAAATTCTGCCGTGTCCTGGAGGCCAGAAATCCCACAGATGTTTTGCATTGTTCTAGTTTGATGTGATAATGCTGACAACATTCCACACTGACAGCCACAGGAGCAGGTGCAGGCAAAGGAGTTACTTTTACACACGAATTAGCTACTTGATACCTATTTCTAGCATTAAGGGCATTGGGATTTGTTGCCTGATCTACTTTTTTCATATCACCCTGTTGGAAAACAACAAAAGTAATAAAACAAATGTGACAGCTGATGGCCACAAACTGAAAGTTCTCTTCCGCAGGTGGAAAGGACAGTGCTACTGGGGCCTTTCTTACATGGGTACCAACATCCATTCACTTCAGCGTCTTGACTCTAAAGGAAAGAACAGTGAAGCACGGAGCCAAATGACTGAAAAAACCAGCTCTGAGGCAGAGTGCTCCCACCAGTTTTCAGCTGTCATCAGTACAAGTGAAAAGGACACTATCAAAGCCGCATTGTCACGTGTATGTGGCGAGCGCATATTCCGGGCAGCTGGGGCTGGTTACAAGAGCCTTTGTGTTGTTCAAGGCCTTGTTGACATTTACATCTTTTCAGAGGATACCACGTTCAAGTGGGACTCTTGTGCTGCTCATGCCATACTCAAGGCCATGGGTGGGGGAATGGTAGACTTAAGAGAATGCCTGCAAAGAAATTCCGAGATGGGGCTTGATTTGCCACAGCTGGTGTACCACATGGAAAATGAAGGTGCTGCTGGTGTGGATCGATGGGCCAACAAGGGAGGACTGATTGCCTACAGATCAAGGAAGCAACTGGAGACATTCCTGAGCCTCTTCATCCAAAACCTTGTGGATACACGCACGTAGATGAACTCTATTCTCGTGTACTTGAAACCCCAAATGTGAACAATTTCCCACATCTCTTAATCTTTTGAAGACAGCTTTGTCCTATTAATGGTCAACATTCTCCTTCCTCTTTTGAGGAGCATTTTTCCATTATGTGTTCATAATAATGATAATTTCAATAAATGAATGATATCCGTGTAGCCATTACATCGATGTGCAAAATTCTTAATAGTGGATATTGTGCTACTAGCGTTGCTTGAAACACTTCAATAAAATATTGAAGAGGAAGAGTTCCCGCTCAATTAGTAACACTCTTCCAAGCATCTAAGCATAAGTAAAATGTCACTGAAATAGTAGGGAGAGCTTGGGTTTTGTTTCCTGTCTTGAAGGGAAAATCTGCAGCTCTAGCCTTTGACAGAACATTTAGAACTGTCAATTTTATGCATAACTTAGCCAAATTCACATACTTTCAACAGTATTCTTATGTTGCTTATGAGAATTAAAGCCTGGAACACGGTGTGCCCCCTCCTACTCTTTCTCACACTCTTTCTCATGTGCACACACCCTCTCACACACACATGTGCATGCACACTCTGGAATATTCTCTAATTCTCTAATATCCTCACATACATACTCCATTTGTATTTATAAGGCAGAAGGGGAAAAGGAGGTTTCTGCAATTCTTGCAATTTTTAACACTTCAAACGAGGGCTACAGTTAAATATAGACAGTCTTTGTGTCTACTAGAATCCCATATTGAATGTCCTCTGAGGTGGATGTGGACCTCTCTTCCTATTCTCTTTAACAGCATTGGTAAGGTCCAAGGCCCCCACCTGGAGGAACCCAGCTCTCAGCTCTGACTTCTTTCTGCCTTGCGCCCTCTGGGGGCCAAAGGATAGTTCTGCAGCATCTTCTATTTTAGCTTTACAATTACAAAATGAATGAAAAGAACTGTCAAACTCTTTTTAATAGTATTGTGCTGCATACAGCAGATTCAATAATTACTGATAATCAAGTTATACTGTTATACTGTTTAAAACCACCCTTGTGCTTTGTGATTGACTATTGGCTGTCAAGCTATATATTCTTACCACTTGCAGTGTTGTTTTAAAAGACAGTCAATTCTTCATAAACGACATTAAAAATAAAAACCCAGAGGGGCAGCTGGGTGGCTTAGTCAGTTAAGCATCCGACTTTGGTTCAGGTCATGATCTCACGGCTCATGAGTTCAAGCCCCATATCAGGCTCTGCTGAGAGCTCAGAGCCTGGAGCCTGCTTCTGATTGAAGAGGATTCTCCCTCTCTCTCTCTGCCCCTCTCCCACTTGTAGTCTGTCTCTGTCTCTCAAAAATAAATAAACATCAAAATAAATAAAATAAATAAAAATAAAAGCCCAGAGTTGTGTCTTGGTGGCTCAGTTGGTTGAGTGTGCAATTCTTGATTTCAGCTCAGGTCATGACCTCACACTTAGTCAGTTTGAGCCCTGAATCAGGCTCTGCACTGACAATGCAGAGTCAGCTTGGGATTCTCTCTCTTTGTGTCTCTCTCAAAATAAATAAACTTAAAAAGAAAAAAGCAAAGAAAACCCAGGAACTAGTCCTTCTCCCTGAATGGAGAAACAATATTGTTCAAGAAAAAGCATTTATTGGGGCACTTGGGTGGCTCAGTCAGTTAAGTATCTGACTTTGGCTCAGGTCATGATCTTATGGTTCAGCACAGAGCCCACTTGGGATCCCCTGCCTTCCTATCTGTGCCCCTCTATCACTCCCTCTTTCTCTCCCTCTCAAAATAAAAAAATAAAAAATAAATTTAAAAAAAGGAAAAGCATTTATTGTCCACATGAACCATTTTAGGATATGTAAATTATCAAAATGCAGTGAAAACAGTCCTCTTCAGTGTGATCTGAACAAGCAGTTTGTTAATTTATTGGAGAAGAAAAGCTAGATAAGACAGGAAATCACATCTATTCTGTTTTGCATACTCCTTGTCAATTTGCTGGAAAGCCAAGGCCCTTCATTAAGCATGTAATTGTCGGATACGTCTATAGTTTTTCTTGCATAAACTACACCTCTTGTGTTTATTTCCTTAGAAGAAAACCTTAAAAATATTCACAAAGTGATCAGAGGACATATTCTGGATTTAAAATTTTTCCCTCTATTTTTACAACAGTTTCATACTCTATAATTTTTTTAAGACTCACCTTTATTGGGGCACTTGGCTGGCTTGATTGGTGAAGGATGTCACTCTTGATATTGCGGTTGTGAGTTTGAGCCCCACAGTGGGTGTGGAGATTACTTAAAAATAATATCTTCAAAAAAAAAAAAAAGACACCTTTATCAACCCTTTCTAACGCCTTTAATTATTTATTTTCAAATCATGATCTATCACTTTAACTTATATTTAATCTATTAAAAGTACAATCAGAATATATAATTTGGGAGGGCACCTGATTGGTTCAGTCAGTTTAGCATCTGACTTCGGCTCAGGTCATGATCTCACAGTTTATGGGTTCGAGCCCCATATCGGGCTCTGTGCTGACATCTCAGAGCCTGGAGACTGCTTCAGATTCTTTGTCTCCCTCTCTCTCTGACCTTCTCCCACTTGCACTCTGTTTCTCTCTAAAAAATAAGTAAACATTAAAAATTAAAAAAAAAAAGAACATACAATTTGGAAAGTAGTCAGCAACTCTTGGCAAACACAGAACTCAACTGACAGGAATGGGAATTGGGGGTGGTGACAGAGGGAGTATGCTAGGTAGTGCGTTGGCCATGAAGGTCAGGTGTCTAGTGCATCGGCCAGTGTGTTTAACAGGAGACTGGAGAGAGAGACTAATATTCTAGTCACTTAGATGGAGGGTGATAAAAAGACAGCTTCCACTGCATAGCAGGAAGAGCAGTCTCTGGGAACCAAGTTACTTCCTCCACTCTAATGTCTTCCCCCCACCCCCCAATATCCTTTTGATGGTAATTTTTTTCCCTCTCTAATATCCTTTTGATGGTAATTTTTTTCCCTCTCTCTCTAATATCCTTTTGATGGTAAGGAATAAGAGAGTTTGCAGTAGCTGGAATTTGAGGAAAACTGGCCACCTCTCCTTACAGTAAAAGCTAAGCCCTTTCAAATGGTTTTGGAAATCAGTAGCTTGAGATAGGATGCTATGTAAGTGCTTCTCCCTTAGGCCAAGTATTTTTAAAAGCACAGAGTTCCATGCCTGGAGGGTTAACCAACCTCCCTTGAAAGAGAGGGTTAACCCTTTCAAACAAGCCCAACTATGCCCATGGTGTATTAGCACAGCTTGCTGCAGGGCAAACTCATCACACAGGTAAATTGATATATCAAGGCTTTCGAGTATAGAAGTGGGCAAAATAATGAAAAGTCAGAGAGAGTTCATGTATTCTCATCCCTAGAACATAGGATGGAGTGCCAGTATAGTGGGAAATTGGTAGCTTTGATATTATTTTTCCCCCAGGACAGGTATTTCTATCAATTTATCATACCAATGTAGCAGAAGCATGTGACATGTTATCTTTTAAAAATAAATTCTAAGGATTATAATTTCATTATCCAGATTATTATGAGAATCATAACCCAATCTATAGGTAATCCAGACTTTCACTTCCCAAATGATAGCCATTAGCCTCAGGTGGCCATTGAGCACTTGAAATGTGTCTACTCTGAATTGAGATATGCTATAAATGGAAATACATACTGGATTTTATGAAAGAAAGTAAAACATTCATAATTCATTATAACACAGTTGTTTGCAAAGGGACAACAATTTTATGTTTTTTGTTTTTTTTTATTTTTGCCAGAGAGAGAGAAAGGGGAAAGGAAGAAGGAGAGAATCTTAAGCAGGCTTCATACCCAGCACAAAGCCTAGTGCAGAGCTCGATCCTACGACTGTGAGGTCATGACCTGAGCTAAAATCAAGAGTCAGACACTTAACTGACTGAGCTACCCAGGCACCCCAGGACAACAGTTTTAAATTTTAGACCAAAATACCTAACTTGCAACTTAATGAATATTATAACAAAGCAATAGTTCAGTAAGGCATTAAATTCACTATTAAAAGCAATTAGTAAGTGTTTAATAATGGTTTTATTTTCTAGGGCCTATCTGTAAGATACTCATTCACATTTTTGGTTTTAGTTCTCACGTTTCCTATGTTGTAACTACCAACTTATTCTTTCTTTCGTGAAATCATATGTTACTGTATCTTACTAACTGATTTAAATTCTATTAAAAATAACATGACTGGGGCACCTGGGTGGCTTAGTCAGTTAAGCGTCCAACTCTTGGTTTCAACTCAGGTCATGATCTCACAGTGTGTGGGTTAGAGCCCCACACTGGGCTCTGCACTGATGTTGCAGAGCCAGCTTATGATTCTTTCTCTTCCCTCTTTCTCTGCCCCCCCTAAATAAATAAACTTAAAAAACTTTTTAATAGAAGAAAAATAACATGACTAAGGGGAAATTCTTGTTCACCATTTTGTTTCAATAGGCCAAAGTGAACCAGAAAGGAAACATGACATACATCTCGCTACCAAAGAAAGAGTAAAAACTGGTACAAGGGAAAAAACATGGGTTTTAGAATTAAACAGGGCTGGGTTTACTGCCACTTACAATGTGATCTAAAGCTAAATACTAAGCTATGTAACCTTTTTGAATCCCAGTTTCTTCCTATGGTAAAATGAATTGTGCCATCTCTCAGGAATATTGTGAAAAGGAAATGAAATAACATACATACATCTCTAACGTAGTTGATTGATGCTCAATAAGACAAGCTACTAATACTTTTATCATTCCTATATAATGCAGTCAACCTAAAAATTACCAGGAGACAAGACAAAAGTTAAAAGTTAAATGGTAGGTTAAAGGAGAGACCTCACTTTATTCAGTTGGCAATTCAGTTGGTTAATGAATAGAGACTAATGGGCCAGGTCACTTAGATGAATGGTGATAACAAAAGGCTTCCTTTACTGCACAGTAGTGAGAGCCGTCTCTGGGCAGCTTAACTCTTTTGTTGTAACACAGTAACAATACTATATTAGCAGTTAACACGTTGATCACTAGATTCCAAGTGCTGTGTTAGACATTTACTTGCATTCTTTCATTTAAGATAACAAGCAAACCTGGGCGACCCTAGATGCCATGGCCTAACAGTCTTTTCCTAACTAGATATTTTGTTTACATTTAAAGAACTAA